CAGCCAATCACAATGCTAGTAAAGCCTTGCATTGGCTGAGATAGTCAATTCTGATACTTTCAACCAAGAAGGCAGAACAAGGGCAGAGTAAAAGGCAGCCCTGGCCAATCACCATCTCCTCATAGAGATGCACTGAATCAATGCATCTCTATGAGGAAAGTTCAGCATCCGAGCTACACATGCCCTCTGAGGAGCAGCCACTAGAGGTGTTTCTAGGCTGCAATGTAAACACTGCCTTTTCTGTAAAAAGGCAGGGTTTACAGAAAACAGCAGGGACAGGATATAAACACCAGAAAAACTACATTAAGCCATAGTTTTTCTGATGATTATAGTGTCCCTTTAATTGCATCCCTTTAATTTAATTTCTAGAAGTTTTATGTTGACTGAAATAAGCTAGTTTTATTCTCCTTGTTTATTCACTATTTTATTCCTAATTTGTTTCATATAGTTTTTAAGTAATAACTGTATTGAACATCATACATTCTATAAACATATATTCCAATATTGTTGGCTTATTTTTCCATGTACATTCTCATAAAACGAAGAAGGTATAAAATAAAATCAAGTTGAAGACAATAATACATTTTAAATAAAATAATAAAAACTGTTTTAAATTGTATTTGGCGTCATTTGTGTTTGTTATTTATGTAACAATTTAAATAAGTAAAAAAACTACCATTATTTGTCGAAATATATTTATTTATTTATATAACAGTATATATTCAGTAAGCAACATAGTAGATTTTGACAGTTCTGCACGAATGCTAACAATCTAAATAAATGTTCCAAAGAACATAAATGTGTTGTTTTTTTCTACAACTGTGAGAACGAAAAAAAGCAACATTCAATCTATCACTGTTATGATTTTCACTAAGGCAGTTGGGACATTGAGTTCCAGGCTACATGTGTCAGTGTTATTTGTGTTGTGCAAAATCTTGTACTGAGTGCATGTTCATTCCCAGATAGAGATAAGAGCAGATCCTACAGTATACAAGATGTAGATCCTGATTCATAAGTAAATTCTTGCTGAAAGAGGGTTTGTCCACTACTGTGTTGTGCAATTGTCAGTAGCATGCACTAGGAAATTAAAAAAAAGTTAAATGTATTAAGTTATTTTGTTAACAAAAATTTATTAAGTGTGTTAGTTATATAATGCATTCTGAAAAGAGAGAATTTATTCTCAAGTATGCATTCCCTTTCAGATTGAACATTAGGTGAAGTCCCATTTTAAACAACTACATTGCTCTCTTTTAAGGCCTTAATAAAAAACAAATGTTCCCAATATGATGTATCATTGCGTATTTTGCTTTTTATCACTTCCAGGTGTTCAATAACAAATCCTGCATCTCTCAGAGCCTCCTCTACAGACTTTTTATCAGATGTTAATATGTGATATTTGCTCCCACCTATGGTGCAATATGTTCCATTAAATAATCCAAATAGCAGCAGATGCCCACCAAGTTTTAGCAAGCATGAAACTTTTTTCAGGTTCCGGCAGTATTCGTCTAGATCTTCAGAAACCAGATGGAAAACTAAAAAACTGACCACGCAGTCTGCTTTTGGTAGAACGACTGGATCTGTAATGTTTTCCTTGGTGAAATCACATTTTAAAATGTGTGAGATATTTCTTCTTAAAGCGTTTTCCATTTCATTGCCCTTAAAGCTGAAAAATATAACCAGGTGGCTAAAAGTTTAATACATACATACAATAGAGACACATATAACACGTGATCTGTAGTATGTGTTTATAAGGAGAATTGATTTTTACTTATTTGGAAATAAGTCTTGCCAAATTGTTCAACATATCTATTAGACTTGTGCAAACGTTCGGTTCGTCCATAAACATATCGATTAATTTGATGCTCGTATTTCTGGGCTGGAATTTTCCATTTAGTTTCAGAACAAATTGATGAGTTTTAATACGAATCAAAGGGATTTGTTTCAGACAATCAATGTGTTGAACTGTTTCAGAAGTCCCATATTTGTTATATATATGTAATTATTATAACAATGCATGACTTGAGGTTGTATTACTAAGCTATATTATGTTACGTAAAGGTTGGACTAACGGAGCTGCTATGTTTTCTACGTACATCATATGAGGTCATACTGAAACCCATGCATGCGACCTTCCTAAAGACTAGAATTGACACTCCGTCATAAATGATGCTGTTTCTTTTCTGGTGAAGCATGCCTTGACAATAAATCAGAATGTATCTTCACAAAAAGTTACATGAATCATCACTGTGATTGACAGTGAAGGCAAGTGGTAATGTTTATTTCTACAAGGGGGTTAAAGGGTGAGGTTAAATTTTTATCTACAAAGAAACAGTCTAAGTAACACAACCACTACATAGAACCGTTACAGTATATGTAAACAAATATTCAAAACATGTCTATGTATATATTTAGGTAAAAATATTTCTTCCTATATTGATGACCTTGATTACCACCTGGGTGCAAGTAATGCATAACACTATAAATATATATGCATATTTATATATGTGAGTGTGAGGGGGTGTATTATTGCTTAATATTATTACGGATTAAATTAAGAATCATAAATATACTCTTCATATTTTACATAAGAAAGCTTGAATTTTTGGGGATATCACTTTTTTTGTCACTGGTAAGCTAAAGAAAGAGTAATAGGATGAAAGAAACCTTTTGGATCAATAAAGTAAAAAACATCTAATCCTATGGCCTAAATGGGGAAGTTGATTTATGATGTTTTGATTAATTTGAGACTTATTTATACCACCTGTGAGAGATTACTAAAACACTTAGTTATTTTTTTACTGTTACATTCATTTAAATTTATATATATATTTTAACTTTTTTTTGCTTTTTATTTCCCACCCTTATTCTGCACACATAGAATGTGTGTTTTCATTACTATGATAAACTATTCCTGAGAGTTTTGTTTTGGTGTGATTGTGAAATATATTACTATGGAGCTCTGTAGTGCACTCATACACACTGATCATTGCTCACAGGTTTATGTCTGTTGAGCTTTGTGATACACTCATACACACCATGATTTAACTTAAGAGTGTTTTATTGCTTAGGATCTCTGTGATACACTCGTGCATACTGTGGGAAAGTGTCATCAAGGATACATGATGAGGTGCATCATCCATGAAGAAAATAATGTTTGAATTTTCCAATCCTATTAAAAAGACTGATAACAGTATATCCAAAATATTATTTGATATTACAAAAATTAAACATAACAATTAGACATAAACATGTTTGTAAAAATAAACACACTTAATGAACTTAATGAACATCTGATGCCAAAAGCATCTGGACAAATTTCCCCTGAAGACAATGGCTCTTCAATAGGATTACAAAGCTCAGGCATCATGCTACTGATTTTGTTACCTAAAGTATAGTAGGGCTATGCACACGGAAAATAATCTCTTTATTCTTATTTTGTAAATTGATAATAAAATGTTATCAAAATAACAGCACTCTACATTTGGGAAGCGGCGGACTGTTTTTTGTTTTATTAGATTTCACTAATCACACATTAAGAACCAATGTCTGTATAGAGAGACCCATCCATTCTTTTGAGATATGTGAATGTCTATGCGACAGAGAATATAAACAATTAATAAATAAGCACTAATATCGTAAATGGTAATGTGTAATATTTAATGTGTATGTACATATGTAATACCACAAGTTCTATCCAATTGGTGGTAAATGGCAATATTTTGATGTCTTTTATATCATTACTGCTGATGGTAATGTCTTGTATGTCTATTTAAGAAAAACAAAATAAATAAATTAAAAAAAAAAAAAATATTCAAAAAGACCTGTATTCTGTCCCTGATCTACTACATGGATTGGTTTGTCTTTTAATTCCCAATAACTTCTTATGTTTTAGTAAAGTAATTGTGATGAATTGGACCTCATCACAGGTCCTTGGAGGGGCATACTTGCCATCCTCCTACCCTGTGACTAAACCCTGGTTGAAAATGTTATTTGTGACTGCTGAGACTTATAACAGGAACAATTCGAATTTTCGAAGCGGCGCTTCAAACTCCCGAAGCCATTCGAAGTGCCATTCAACCACGAGGTTACGGCCATCTTGTTTTCATGGACCAAAACCGCGAATAGACTTCAGGGGGACTTAGCCATAAATGCCCTGGAACTATTTTCGTCATGAAATCCTCATGGTTCCCGGTCGGTCCTCCAGCAGCACTTAGCCATGATTCTATGGAACTACTTTCGGCTATGGGACCATGCCTGCGGTCGGTCAAATAAATGACTTCCATAAAATTCCTGAATTCCTGAACTGATCTGGGTGATTTTTGGACATTTTGGTGAGCTTGATCAGGGCTATCAGGGGATGTAACATTTGTGGGGATACTATGTGTTTTGGGGTACTTTTGGGACTTTTTAAAAATATGTGTTTTTTTCTACCTGGAGTTTTTTGAATTGATACAGTATCTGACTCAATTATCTCCCAGGCAGAGGGGAGGGATTGTATGTTTGTTATGGGAGTGTTGTGTATTTAATCACTGTTCTTATTGGTCTGTGTCTTTGTGATGGAGTCCCCAACAAGGTCCATGTGGGCGTACCCCTTGCATGGGGATTATCATAAAAGTCCAGTGTGGCACCATTAAAATTCAGTCTTACTCTACCCTCAACACAGAGTTCTACTGTTATACAAAGAGTTCCTGTTATACTGCCATCACTACTAGCTCGTGTAAGAGCTTCACAGATATACTCTCTTGGAGGAGAGGCCTTCCCACTGAGTCCTGGGATCCAGGAGTTTGGTCCAGGGTGGGAAGAGATGTTGAGACCCCAACCAAGATGCATTGGTTTGTGGGGTCAACGGTGCTTACAGTGTCCGGTGCAGTGCTTATGGTTCTCAGCGTCAGCTAGGAAGAATAAATTGGCAGAGGTACCCCGTCGGGGTGCCAGATGGTCGGTCACAGTAATTAACTATACATCTATAGTCAGCAAAAACAGGACTGTTAGCATGATCCTTACCTTGAACCTTGCAATTCTTTCATGATCGATAAGGCATGAGTCCAGTCATAGCTTTCTGACTCCCTATGCTTCCATTTCACTAGTTCCTTCAAACAGAGATCACTAAATTCTAAAATAGTGATGTCTTTGAAAAACTCAAACATGGGCAATAGATGGTGAATGTTACAGCCAGAAGAAATATCAATCAAATAGTCTCCTGTAATTTGACCTGCAGTGAAAAAATCCCGAAAGAAAACCATAAACAAAGGTAAAAACTTGTCCAAAATTACTTTAGATCTGTTTTTTCACTTAGATTTGATTGAAAGAGCTGAAAGTTAATACATTTGAGTATCGAAAATGATAACTATTAAATATTTAATATAACTTTAGAACTTTTGTTTTGAATTGAGACTTCATTCAATTTACAATTTTTTTTAAATTCTAAAAACACATATTTTAGAAGCATTAAGACTATAATGTTGTTTTACACGTAACATATTTTCTCAGGGTATGTTCCCTATTTAATTCTTTTACTGTCAGAATACTTAACATAATGCATGTACATACATGTGGCTAGATACAGATTGTATTTTAGACGAGTTATTTTCTCATTTTCATACATTTTACCTTGCCGTACACATAGCACATTTCATTAGCCTATGCACCAAAGGAAATTTATTTATTTTTTATAAAAAGCATTCATTTATTAAATCTGCAGTCATAATGGATCCATTTGTATTTCTTAAACAAACAAAGATAATAGAATGTAGTGTCAGGAATCAATGCCTATGGTAGTCTTCTCAAGTTCAGGGCAATATTTTAGAATAGGTAGAATCTCTACTGAAAAAGAGCCTATTTTTAGCCACATGGTTAAAGGTATTGGTTAAGTAGGGGCTAATTTGTTCTAGAAATAACTTATAAAATAAATTACCAAATCAATCTGGACCCGGAGTTTAAAATTTTTCTAAATTAGTAATAGCCTGTTTGACTTATTCAATAGTTATTTCTTTATTCAAAGAAAATCTATCCATCCGTAATCTGAGGTAAATTTGATTTGTCGATATATTGTTTGATATCCTCTCTAGTCATTGTTGATGGAATATTATACAGTTTGCTGTAAAACTCATTGAATTGTTGCCCTATGTCTTTAGGTGTTTCAAATATTTTATCTTTATCTATTAGTTTTTCCACTTTATTTGATCCTTTTTGCTGTCTAAGTTTTTGTTATAGCATTTTATCTGCTCTATTTCCTTTAGAGTAATATTTACGCTTCAATCTGTCTAAATTTTTAACGGTTCTTTCCATTAGCAGTTGATTTAGTTTTTCCTTTACCGCAATTATTTTATTAGAATTTTCAGATGTTGTTTTTTTTTTTTTATATAATTTGAGTTAGCTTTCTTAATTCTGTATAAAGGTCACTTAATTTGAGATTTTTATTGAGTTGTCTTTGTAATTTTTTTTTATTTTTGTTATTTATTTTTTATTTCATTTAATAAAATATCCTCTGATTACTGCCTTAAACGCACACAATAAAATCATTGGATCCATATTCTCCGTCTTATTTTCTCCAAAACAGTTATTAGTATTCAGTTCAATATATTTTCTGTTATAGTCTGAACTTTTTGCTAGCTCCAATTTTACATATCACTCCATTATGGTCTGTCCAATTTATTTCTTTAGTTTCTATTTTAGTTATTATTTCTATAAGCGTAGGATCTATGTTTCTGTGTTTCTATTCTTGACTAAGACAAATGGACTCTTGAGAAATGAGTATAGTCCAGATCATTTGTGTTTATAATTCTCCATATCTCATAGAAATTGAATTTATTCTTAGTTTTATTTAGAGATTTAACTTGTTTGAACACCATTGATTTTGGCTCCTTTCATTATTTTTTTTTATCGAGATTGGGGTCTAGAACTCAATTAAAATCTCCTGCAAGTATGATTTGTCCTGTTTTTATTTCTTCTGCTTTTTCTAATATTTTTCTTAAATAAGTTGTTGAAGATTTATTTGGCAGGTGGACATTGCATAATGTAAATAAGTTTCCATTTATTTTACAGACTATCACCAAAAATCTTCCCTCTGAATCATGAACAATATTTGGAAATCTTTTTCCACCCCATGTTTGTTTGTATGCCTGTCTCCAGTGTGTTTCTTGGAGAAAGCCTAGGTCGATATGTTTTTTAGTCAAATATTTGTATACTAAAGACCTTTTTGTTGTTGAGTTCATACCTTGGACATTTAATGTTAACATTTTTATAATTTAAAATCATAAAGCTTCTTCTCTGATTTGCCATTAATTTGTTTTGTTTTTTTCCACTATTGTTGCATATACATGTACACAAAAACAAATAAATCTAAAATCGGTTGGGAATATCAACCCCCGTTGGTGCAAAGACAGTTTTCTCATCATTTCGAGAAATCAGTCTGATACTGTGTATTTATATAGACACTAAGTAGGCCTACCCGGTCTGACTTTTATATACTTTACTGTTTTCTACCTTTGTCATTTTGTGTACAGACCTGTAAAGAGAACAGCTGTTTGGAAATCGCCTAATTACACTTTAAAATACAGATATTTATAAACTTGGTCTGCAGTTGGTGTTTGTTCTCACAATGGGAGGGAGTGGGGGGAGGATTGTGGTTCTGTCTGAGTTAGTTATATTTTGGGAAAAACTGTTTAGTTTTATTGTCAGGAACCCGAGGACACGCAAGTGATATTCTTGGTGGGGATTATTCCACCTATGCCTCTTAAACTGAGAAATATTTCATTTGCCTGCTTTTCTAATCCTGCTAATCTTGCTAATCCTGCTTTTTGGTAAAGGAATACCCGTACATACCCTGAAGACACCTTTGTGAGTGCACCAAGATCATCATAATATCCATAGACGGGGATTGTACCGTCCAGGCGCATAAATCTGGAGCTAAATATTAGTTCCAGAAAATTGTAAGTGCAATTTTCCTTTATTTACTATCACTAGCAGTCTAATATACTACACTATATTTGTGTCCTCTCCCTTTTTTCGCCCATATTGCCCTGAGCTTGATAAGACTACCATAGGTGCTGCTTCCTAACAATACCTTCCATACCTACAGTATTGTCAGAAAAGAAGAGACTCTGGTTTCTAGGAAGTTCTAGCAGCCAAAATTACAAGCACTGATATATTCCACCCCCATTGTCTCCCAACAAATATATTGAATCACACCTTAACTACTTAAACTTATTGGAGTGGTTATGGTCCAATGAGCCTTGCCTTGCAACCATTCTTTTTAACAATGATTCATTCTGGAGATACATATCATTGTCTGTTAAGTTGAGATGCCTGCCGTAAATCCTCCAGGCTGTATAACTGCAGGGAACTTTTTATGCGAGAGATCTGGTGCAGAGACTCCTATGCCTCTCACCCTTTGTTAGCAGTTGAGTGGTGAATTATGTAAACAGCAGGCTGCTGAGGCCAGCCCCCCAATACTTTATTTCTGAACCTCTCACCCATGTCCAAGACTAAGCCCCTTATCACAGTCTGGAAACTGGAGAAGAAGTGGCCTGAAGTTAAACTGATGGCTGATTAATTCTTAACCCCTAAACCACTGGCAATAGTTGAGGAACATAGAGCATAAAGTATTTTGATTCCAATTCATGGAGATGATGGCGTTTGTGAGAGCTGGGATCCATTCTAAATCATAGTGGTCTATGAGGATATTGTAACCAGCATGCTGCTATATACTTTGTTAATTAGTTAGTGGATCCTGTTGACTAACTGACACGAGACATATCATGAGTCAGTGCAAGTCAAGATCAACACAGATATATTACAGTGTTCTCATGACTTGAACTATAAAATAATATTTTTTAATTAATCGTTCAGATAACCTCTTTAATGTTATATTGATCTTTTAGAGAGTTATCTACTAAACCACGAAATCTGACCAACTCACAAGAGAAATGCAACATTTGATCCAAAATACCCTACATTTTGTAATTCCCTTGTCCACATGTGATGATTTAAGGAATTAATTAAATCTTTTGGAGCCTTTTTATCAATTCCGAATTCTGGAAAAACTGAAAACTACCTAACTGAAAATATACGTTTAAAAAATAGAGATGTCACAGATCTGCCAGAGGCTATCTGCTCCGCAGAGGATAGATGAGATCATATGTCTTATCCATCCCACCCAACCATCCATCATTTGCTGTGACCTACTTCCATATCCTCTTCAAAGCCAAGTTGTTTTTTTCAGGGATCTGTACAATGCAGCACCGAATTTTTAGGCACTCTCCAAAAATATCCAGCTGTTTACTGTGTGCCCCTAATTTTCAAGTTACAGAAGAAAGTCAAGTCTGTGGTGTTCCTGAGCTGAAATGTGCTTTGATATCATCAGATGTCCACACTGCTGGAGGACAGAGAATAAGCTTGGTGACCTAGTGAGACTGGATGAGGAAACCAGCTGCCGATCTCTGCTCCTGGCTTGTGCTGCCAACTTGTGCCCCATTTTCCCCCTTTTTAGACCCATAGGGATGATCACAGTCTGCTCCATCTAGGCACCCTACCACTACTGAGGGTATGTGGCATACCTGCTCAACAACCAACTAGTACTAAAGCGTATACGAGATGGCAAACACCACATGCGACACTAAATTCAGCTGAGATTCCAACAACATCCAGCATCACTTGCACAGACCTTGCTGGGAGATTGGACCAATGCTTAGTAATAACAACTGCTTCGCTTATGTTTATAACCTGATTAGGGGGCCTCCTGGAAGCTTACACTCATAGACAAGCTGTATGTTTCACTCTACTTTTATTCATTATTTACTGTTATGATTTCCACCACACACCTGTCGCTCATTCCGTTAACCCCGTTAACCCCTTAACACCGTTACGGCGTTCAATGCAGTCCCGGCTTTAAAGGGCTTTAAAGCCGTTGCGGCGGCATAGAACGCCGTAACGGCTTAAGCCCCCAGGAGGTGAGATCTACTCACCTCTTCCACGATGCTCTTCTGGAGGGCTGCCTGAAAGCCCAGGCAGCCCTCCCCCGGCAAATTAGCCCCCCGGGGGCCATGTGATAGCTCTCAAAGAGCGATCACGTGGCCCCCTATAGCTGGCTGTAGATCTGCCAGCAGGTGGACTGTCTGAAATATCAGACAGTCCCCCTGCTGTTAGGTAGTGTAAAAAAAAAAATTAGACATGTTTAAAATTAAATTAAAAGTATTTATATATATATATATATATATATATATATATATATATATATAATATTTATATATATATATATATATATATATATACATATTATATATATGTAACGTCATACAAAGTGTATTTTAATACTAATATTAGTATATATATTAATATTAAAATACACTTAGAATGACGTTACATATATAATATGTATATATATTATATATATAATAGATATATACACATATATTATATATATATACGTATAATTACAATAATAAATAAATAAAATAATAAAATAAATAAATAAAATATTGAAACAACATTTAATATAAATTATATATTCATATGTAATTTCATTCTAACTGTATTTTGTTATTAATATATATATATATATATATTGGTGACAAAATACACTTAGAATGACATTCTATATATATCTATCTATATATAAAATACAAATAACCGCAAATATATATATATAGATAAATACATATAATTACATAAAAGATTACATTAGTATACATGTAGAATTTAAATACCTATAAATGCATATATATTAAAATTCTACGTGTATATTTAAATAATCTTTTAACATAATTATGTGATTTGATTAATTAAAATTTGATTGACATGCCTGACAACCAGGGGCGTACCTAGGGCATGTGGCACCCGGGGCGGGTCCTGGGTTTGGGTTTCCAAAACACCATAAAACCTATTAATGGGGGGTACTGTTGTACTTGTGAGACATCGCTGATTACAAATATGGGCATTATTTTGCAGTAAAACCTAACAATATTATGACATTTACAGCTAAAATGTGAGGCGGAACTACAATTTTTTTTTCTAAAAATTTAAACTTTCTCACATTTTTTTTAATTTTATTCATAATAAATTATGTTTCATATATAAATATTTGATATGAAATGAAAGCCCTGTTTCTCCTGAACAAAATGATATATAATGTGGGTGCATTTAATATGAAAGAGGTGAATTACGGTTGAACAGACATATAGCGCAAATTCCAGTTTTTATTTATGTTTTGTTTTGTGCACTATTGACACCGTCCTGAAGGGGTTAATTTTCACCCTGCTACTGGCTGAAAGACTGTGCATAGTGCATATACCATTACACAAAAAGTGCAATACCTTTGATGTACTAAGCTACTCTTTTCTTTTGAACGCATTGTTTTAATGCCTGTATGTTACTCTATGCACTGCAAAAAATAAAGAAGTTAAATATATATTTATAATACCAATGAAAATGTGCAATATTTTTAAATGTATTAATGTATTAAACTGAACATACCTTGCCCTGCCACCTTATAAAGCTGTTGCATTGGAAATCTTACAGTCTCGTCAGTGATATACTTTTCCACTGTTCCAGAATAATATGCATTAAACCTGTCTGTTGGTTCACATTCATGTAGATGATAGCGTTTGTGAGAGCTGGGGTCCATTCTGAATGCCTGTAGCGTTCTATGGTGATAATGTCACCAGCAAGCTGTTATATACTTTGTTATTTAACATTATCAGTTAGTGGATCCTGTTGACTAACCAACACGAGACATATCTTGAGTCAGTGCAAGTCAATATCAACACAGATATATTACAATATTCTCATGACTTCAGCTGATCAAATAATTTATTTTTTAAATAATCACTCAGAAAACCTCTTAATAATTACACTGATCTCTTAGAGGGTTATTTACTAAAGAGCGAAATGTGACCAACTTACAATAGAAATGCATCATTTGAGCCAAAATAGCCCACATTTTGTAATTCTCTTGTCAATACATGATGATTTCAGGAAGTGTGTCTTTTTAGAGCCTTCTTTATCAATAAAGCATTAAGGAAAGACTGAAATCCAACCTAATGCAGCAGAATGCAGCACAGAATTTTCATGCACTCTCTACCTTCCCCCAAAATATGCAGCTGTCTATTGTGTACACCTTGATTTTCAAGTCACAGAAGAAAGTCAAGAAGTATATCTCTCTCTCTCTAGCTCTGCAAATAAAGAAAAAAAACTATTAACAAATAAGCAATGTCAAAAAAATATACACTCGCGGGGGTCAGCAACCTTCGAAACTTCAGATGTTGTGGACTACATCTCTCCTGATGCTTTGCCAGCATTATGCCTGTAAGAGTATTATGGCAAGTGTAGTCCACAACACCTGGGGTTACATACCCCTGCACTACAGGGGCCATTTTATTGGAAGCAAATTTTGCTGAAACCTGCGATAACAAGAGTACTATGTAATTGTGTAAATTCTAAAAGACTTTATAAGATGTGAGAAATAATTACTTTTTGCACAGACTGTGGAACCTTTGGTAAAACTTGCAACTTATTTCCATATTGCCTTATTGTCTTATTGTTTAATACATTTTACTACAAATCTAAAGCTGCACGAAACAAATTCTGAATCCACTCACTCAGGACTTAAGGTCAAAGGCATGCACGCTAAGGTCAACAAGTACAAGTACATTTTAAAATTCAATCACCATAACCCCTTTTAAAATGGTTTTACCCCTAACCTTGCGAATATACCAGATGTTTCTCCCCAACAGTGAATGGTTAGCTTATTGGCTGAAAGTGTCAGACAATGAGCTAAACTTGCACCAATCTCCATCAAAAGTAGTGGGGGAATTCATAGCAATTCAATGAATTGGGAACTGTGGAAAACATTTACTCATTCTAAACCAAATGAACCAAACTGGAAAAATTGATAGGTAGCCAAAATGTTGCTGCTCAATTATTTTGGCCTAAAAGTTTAAAAAAACATCAATACCTTGTCTATACTCCAATGTTTATTGCTAAACAAGTGTAGTTTATTTGCAGCTGACTGCATTGAATTGAAAACAATTTCGCTAAATTTAATCTTTATTAGCAAAACTGTGACTATAGATATTAAAGCTGTGAATATAGCAAAAAAAACTTCAAAACAAGTTTATCCATAAATATTAAATAATTAAAAAAAATATATCCAAAAATATTTAATAATGACCTTGCAATTTAACTATTTACTAAATAAACCCTTGTGTGTTTGCATGTGCACATATTGGATGTCAAGGGGGCCCAGGGCCAAGTTTGTCTATGGGGCAATATTTCTGTCATAAGATATCTGACCAGATGTTAATCAGTTATTTTGATGTGGAGAAAATTGTGAAGATATGGACTATCTCAAATATCTTGCTGGTCCTACTCCACAAAGAATCATTGTGTCTCCAACCACCCAGAGGGAGTATGATGTGCTGCCTCCCAAATCCTCCTACATGTGACTCCTACAGGAAGATAATTTCAAGGGGCATTTTATCAAAGGTCAGGACACTTAAATGTCTCTACTAACAACTTCTAAAACTTCACCCATTCCCCCATCCACTAATCCTCCATTTAGCCCCACCTTCCCCTTACTGCAGCTGCTGCCAAACTCACTCATCCAGGTGCCAGCACCCCAACCGTCAATGCAGTTGCCACACTTTTTATCTGGTTCCACCTGCACTATCAGGGTTGCTGTCACGACTACTACTATCACCTGCATCCAGAGACCATATTCAGCATTCCACCCTTGCCACCATCCCCGCACCATATTCCTGAAGCATGTTCACTGCCAGCTGGTGAGGGAGCAAAGGAGAATTGCCAGTGTCATCACCTGCATATCACAGCTCATGGAAACCAATTTTCAGGTGGCATGAGCTGCTGAGCTGGCTGCCCAGGACCGGTGGCTATGGACTGCCTGGTTCATAGGGGGTCTGCCTCAGTGACGGTGAGTTTTTCCAGGCTTTTTATCAACATCAGAGAACTGACCCTGGCACAGTGTCAATCTCACCCATACATTTCCAAATGGGGCACGCCTGAGCAAACAGAGATGCCATAGCATTAGTCATGACATAATGAAATCTCCCCTCGCAGCACAACTAGTCAGCCCCCTCTGCCTTTCACCTCTCCCTTTAATTGTAATATGTTTTTAATATAATAATGTTTTTAATATAATGTACCTTTACCATGATTCTCATCACTAATTTAAATGAATGTTTGGTGCCCACTCTGTTAAACCCCCTTGCAAGCTTTATCCATCCAGTGAAGGCACCCTCTGTCCTTGGATTCCTTTGCCAGCTGAATAAAGTCTCTGACTCCATGTGCCGCTTCGCTCTTACTCTGTGTGCAGTTTTAAATTGTTGAAGATTAATAAACATCTTACCTGTGCAATACTGCTTCATGCCTGCTTGTATCAGAGCACATTCAGAATGATTATAGTTACAACATACTTCACTGCTCTATATTTGTGAGTGGTTTTCATTACATATGTTATCTTGCTGTGTGTAAAGCAATATTATACTATAGTTTTCTTGTCATTTTTCCCCCCTGTATATGATTCATCACTGAATTTTTGTCCCATATACTTACCTGACTGATAACGTTTAGTAAGTATATTCTGAAGAGTGTGTGGATGTGGCTATTACATACATTGTAATCACACTTTATATTTACACTGCATAATATTTTTGCACTATTGTAAGATTTTTGTGGCTAGTGTACATTTGGACTTGGAAAGTTCACTGTATAAGGATATTGTTCTTTAAATGATATTGCACATTGCACTTTCAAAAGTTATCACAGTGATACATCATTCTGTCTTAATGACACACCACACCTTTAATAATTTTTATTAACTTTTTTTCATTTTTATTGGGTTTCATTGTTGGCACTCTAAATGGGCAGCTTTATTATTACTAAATATTTGTGTGTGTGTGTAAGCATGTGTGCTATGAATCTGAATCTGCATGTGGCAAGTCTGAGTGTATATATGAATGTGGTTTTATGTATATGAGGCTGTATGTGTGTGAAGTGTGAGTGTGTATATGAATATGTTTGAATAGGAGTCTCTGTATGTGCATATGTGTTCATTTGTGAGTTTGAGTCTGTGTCTATGTACATCAATGTGTGTTTCTGTGTACGTTTGCATTTATATATTGCCTACTTTTTCCGCAGTCCTTTACAACATCATCAGAAGTAAGGATCATAGCCAATCACAATGCTAGTAAAGCCTTGCATTGGCTGAGATAGTCAATTCTGATAATTTCAACCAAGAAGGCAGAACAAGGGCAGAGTAAAAGGCAGCCCTGGCCAATCACCATCTCCTCATAGAGATGCACTGAATCAATGCATCTCTATGAGGAAAGTTCAGCATCCGAGCTACACATGCCCTCTGAGGAGCAGCCACTATAGGTGTTTCTAGGCTGCAATGTAAACACTGCCTTTTCTGTAAAAAGGCAGGGTTTACAGAAAACAGCAGGGACAGGATATAAACACCAGAAAAACTACATTAAGCCATAGTTTTTCTGATGATTATAGTGTCCCTTTAATTGCATCCCTTTAATTTAATTTCTAGAAGTTTTACGTTGACTTAAATAAGCTAGTTTTATTCTCCTTGTTTATTCACTATTTTATTCCTAATTTGTTTCATATAGTTTTTAAGTAATAACTGTACTGAACATCATACATTCTATAAACATATATTCCAATATTGATGGCTTATTTTTCCATGTACATTCTCGTAAAACAAAGAAAATATAAAATAAAATCAAGTTGAAGTTCAGGTTCTGGCAGTATTCATATAGATCTTCAGAAACCACATGGAAAACTAACAAACTGACCACACAGTCTACTTTTGGTAGAATGACTGGATCTGTAATGTTTTCCTTGGTGAAATCACATTTTAAAATGTGTGAGATATTTCTTCTTAAAGCATTTTCCATTTCATTGCCCTTGAAGCTGAAAAATATAAGCAGATGGCTAAAAGTTTAATACATACATACAATGGAGACACATATAACACGTGATCTGTAGCGTGTCTTTATAAGGAACATTGATTTGCTCTGTTTTGTTTTTACTAATTTGGAAATAGTCTTGCTAAATTGTTCAACATATTTATTAGAATTTTGCAAACGTTCGGTTCATCCATAAACATCGATTAATTTGATGGTCGTATTTCTGAGCTGGAATTTCCATTTAGTTTCAGAACAAATTGATGAATTTGAATACGAATCAAAGGGATTTGTTTGAACAAATCAATGTGCTGAACTGTTTCTAGTATTTGTTTGCCAATAACTAAAATGAATTTTTAAAATTCCATATAATATGTAATTATTATAACAATGCATGATGTGAATTTATATTACTAAGCTATATTATCTTACATAAAGGTTGGAATAACGGAGCTGCTATGTTTCTATGTACATCATATGAGGTCATATTGAAACCCACGTATGCATATGACCTTGCTAAAGACTAAATTTGACACTCCATCATAAATGAGGCTGTTTCTTTTTTGGTGAAGCATGTCTTCACAATAAATCAGAATGTATCTTCACAAAAAGTTACATGAATCGTCATTGTGATTGACAGTGAAGGCAAGGGGTAATGTTAATTTCTAGGGGGGTAGAGGGGGAGGTTAACTTT